TGTGTGTGTGTGTGTGTGTGTGTGTGTGTGTGTGTGTGTTTTAAAATGATTATAAATAAAGCCTTAAGGAAAAAGAGGAAAGTCTAACATTAGATGTTGACAATTAATTTTGGGGAGATAAAATATATAGTTAGTGATGCCCATCCATATTCATCCATATATGTTCAAGTATTTGGGGGGTATCTCAGTTCATATGGAACACAGGTCTAGTATGACCTAGGAGCAGCCATGGTACTATAAGGCATGATTTGTGCTCAGGAAAAACCTATTGAAACAAGGAGCAGTTTGTGTGGAGCTGGTGGTCAAGGCCTTAGGAGCAGCTTCAGGAGTTGGATGGGAGACTTGTCCAGAGACAGTGTACCTGTATTCCTTCTTTAAGGCCTGTTTGGATGGCCTCAGGTAGAATGTGCTGATTTTTATTAATAGCAAAATGTGACTAGCAAACAATGACTTTCTGATGGTGAAAACAATTCTGTAATTCCATTTTGGTTCTATAATTGCATTTCATAATGTAAGTGTACTAGAAGATAGAAAAACCTCATGAACTGGATGTGCCCTGTTTATAAAAAGCACTAATAACACTCCACTGTTAACTTAATAATGAATAAACTTGCAGTTTTTAATGCTGTTTTAATTTGTCCATAGTATGTCATACAGTGTCTGAATTTGCTTATTGCTGGGATATTGATATCATTGTATGAAAGAGCCATAGAATTTATTGACTAGTAATTTAGAATTTCTTCTGTTACTCTGCTAGAAATAAAAAGTGAGGCAGGCACAAAGAAGTAACAATAGGAATTTTGTAAAAAAAACCAAATCTACAAAGGACATTTACTTGTGAAAGGATTGTTAAAGACTGAATTTCCTTTTAATATATGTTATTATGGAATTAGGAAATCACCGGAAAATGTCTATACTTATGCAATTTATCTGGAGGCAAATGTGTATCAATGTTAATTAAGGGTGAACATTTGTCTAGCGATAGCACTATGACCACTAGATGTCGCTGTTCACCCAGTAGTCCAAGATTGTGTTCCATTAGGCTCAGCATGTCTGTAAGGTTTCAAGTGAAGATAAACGTTAATGACCTTAGTTTCTGAAGTGAGGGCATCTTCATCAAGATTATTCATCTGTGAAAAGCTTGAAGCAAATGTAGTATTGATTTTTTATGCTTTGTGAGTGATGACAGCACCGTATGATGTCAAACTAAGGAGGTGCACAGCCACTGTTAGCCAGAAAGACACTTTAATGCATCTTCCTTTTCAGGATCATTGGTAACTGGCCAATGTGCTTCTCATGTAAAAACAAAAACAAAAACCAACAAAAAACCTAGCATAAAATGCCACACTTAGAAAAATGCCCAAGGTACTAAGAAGTTATGTTATCTATTTCTGTCTTAACACACATGCATAGTATTTTATTGTTACTGCCATTATATGCCTTTTGAGTCTCAAAACTTGTGAACTGCTTGCTCAAGTTTTAATAATTATTGCTGTTGATGTTCAAGTTGTAGATGGTGTTGTTGACTGTCATGGGAAAATCAAGATATTATTCCAACTGTAAGACCAATAAAATGATTTCAAAATAAGTGTTTTCTGGGACACAAAGAACTAATTGAAAATCTTTTATAATGACATATTTTCACTTAAAATGAAAGCATCTGGACAGGGGATGTCACTCAGGGGTGGAGCACTTGACAATATGCAGAAGGCTTGGGTTCAATCCCAGCACTGAAAAAGTAATAAAACAAAAACTATTAGGAGTAATTAGAGGAAAATAAGCAGTGAGTTTTGAAGACATACAGTTATGCCATGCTTTTCTTCTAAGTCACCTAAGTCATTTAAATACACAGATTATGGCTAAACTGAGTGGCAGCCTAAATAATGACATTGGTCCAGGTCTTTTGCAGCTGGGCACTTAGATCACATCCGTGATGAACATGGAGTATTTAGTAGGTTTATTTAGTAGGTTTAGTAGGCTGTCAGGATCATTTCTGTTTTTCACACAGCTACTTCTCTTCCTTTAATTGGGTATGAATTGTGAATGTACAAACTGGCACCTGCATTTCTAACCTCAGTAAGCCTAGCTATAGTTCTAAATATCAACTAGAAATTGAGTACTATTTTAGTGTTACCCTGACCCAAACAAATTAAGCAGAAGTTTCGTGGTCTTCATCTTCCTTGAGTTCACAAACAAGGCAAAAGTCAATACCCATGGAAAGCCCAGTGAATATGTAACACATCTCAGAGAAGAAAAAGGCAGCCACCATAAAAACACAAGGGTAATTAATGCAATAGAAATTGTGTTTAGACTTGACTTGCATATTATTTATATCAAATGTTGGCCAATTTTCTGATATCTGCACTAACATCAGAATAGCTTGCTTCCAAACAGCAGTTTTAGCAGGTAAGGTAGTGGATTATAAAGCTACTGAGTACATTGAATAGACTACAAGGATAATAGTTTGTTTCAATTATTTGTTCCATTATGAAAATGAAACAGACACAGAAGAGGAACTCACTGGAGGGGTAGAAAGGAAGCACACCCAGGAAAGCTGTCCTTTTGTCATTGACATGAGCAGAAGATTCTGAGGATAGAGGACTGAGGAACAGGTGAGAAGGTAGAGGAGTGAAGGAGAACAGACTCCCTGGTAGGAGATGGCAAAGCTGTGCCGGTCTTGAGACAAAATACACAGTGATGGGTAGTGATCAGCTCCAGTGCAAGTAGTGCGGTTATCTCATCCACAGCGGCCTTGTCAGAAACCACATCAGGGGAGCCTGTATGTGTTTTGTCTTTAGCCTTTACTCATCACTTAAACATCAGCTCCTCACATCATTATTGTGCTCTTAAACTTGCAGTGCAAGAAGACAGGAGTATGAGTGAAAATGTGAAGTTGTAAGTGAAATATAATGTAAACTGATTGGTTTTCATGCTTCAATTCCCAATCAAGTCATTTTGGGTGGATGTGGCTATTGGTTGTTTGTATAGTTTTTTTTTTAACATGAGATTAAACTACATTTTGAATTTAAGAATTTGATAGTCAATAAAGTTACCTATACAGTCATTAAACACTTCTATGTTAATAAGCATATGATATTTGCAAACATTCTGCATTTGTTAATTTTAGTTCATAAAACATTTGTATTAAGATGATAAAAGCTGCATTGTAAAAAATGGTGTCAAAGTCCATCCTCTTTGACATACTTCTCCATCATTGTAAAAATGGCCTCAAAATCTGTCCTCGTTGACATACTTCTTCCAGCAATGCTACTTCCTAAACATGCCCAACAGTGTCACCAATGGGGACTAAGTACTTAGATACCTGAGAATACAGGGGACATCTCCTTTAGACCAGCCCGTGGATTGAACTGAGGCCTTCTTGCTCACCAGCCAGGCACTCTACTGACTGGACTATCCTCCAGCTTCTGCTACACTCCTTATTTTCCATATTCCTCATAATTTCTTCCTCTATCAGGACCAATTTTTTATTTCTGTGACCTACAATTGCATATATAAAAGTGATACCCCCAATTTTTAATTTAGGTTATGATATGTGACTTATTTAACAACATTTTTCAATTGTATCCATTAAGAATTTTAATCCATAGTAATATTTTTCTGCAAAGACTCAAAACCCAGATACAGTCATTGATAATTTCTCCATATAGGAAAGCTCTATGCACACTTTTCAGAAAACAGAATAGAATACCTCCAAAATCATCTTCAAAGACATCAATCACTAATCAAGAAAATGTCCTATAGGCTTGTCTACAGCCATGTCTTATGGAGGCATTTTCTTAATTAAGGTTCCCTCCTCCCAGATAACTTTAGCTTGTGTCAGGTTAACATAAAGCCATTTAGCATATCCACCAAGCTCCCTCCATTCAGGAAGGATGACACATCACTTGCTTTCTTGGGTCCAAAGCAATATCTGTAGAGGAAGGGTTGAAAAATT